GGGGGGGGGGGGGGCGCTGGTTGAAAACAGACTGAACCTGATTGCATAAACAGAGCACAAACCTCATCAGGATCAGCAAGGCCGCCTTTGTACAATGAATGGGATGCTGTCCCACCAACTGCCAGCAAATCCATCTCTACAGTCCTTATCTGAATTTCCATTAGTGGTCTGGTCTTGCAATTATCACTCACATCAACTGCCATGTGTAAACTCCTATACCCATTTGCTTTAGGCCTGGCAATATAATCTTTTGTTCTGTGAGGGATTTCGTTCCACAAAGATCGAACAATCCCACATGTCCTATAGCATGCTTTCTCACCTGTTTCTCCAGACTTAGGCTTCAATACAACCCGCAAACCCAGAACATCATTCACTTCTTCAGGCTTCCGACCATCTTTCAAAAGCTTCTTCATCATACTATACCGACTCTTATACCGTCCCTTAACCAAAACATCCTCCACCATATCAGCCAAAACAGGATCAGCCTTCAAAGATTGTCTCAACTCTTCCACATACATATCAATCAATGGCCTCCCACCCGTTACATGACTACGCAACCACGTATCCACATATAAATACGAATAAGGAAACAAATACCGAAACGACAAATCTTCCAACTCCAATGACAACCAGTTAGTCCCTACAGCATGAGCTAACGGAGCATAAATCTTCATAACTTGAAGAGACAGCATTTGCTGTTGATACCTCGGCAAGTAATCTAAATGTCTCATCATATCAAGCTTAGTAGCCAATTCCAAAATTACAGCACGAATATCATAATAAGTAAGACAAAACTTTCTCAATGCATAAGCACTATCATCATCCAAAACCTCAATTCTTGAAGGACTGTTTTTCATTCTCCAGCTTTCGTGTAACAAATGTGCCGTACCACTCCCTATTTTATCCCTCACTTCACGAATTGTTATCGCACTAGTTTCAAGCACTTGCATCAGTATTCCCGCAGAAATTACTTCCGCATCCATCTAAGCCATTAAATTAAATTAATTAATCAATTTTCAAACAATAAAATAACTAATTTATTAATTCAGTAATTAATAATATTTTTTACCTGAAGATCGGCGAGGAGGAGAGCGAGAGACAAGGCTTTATTGAGAGGAGAGCGGTGATCAGGGGAGAGAGGTAAGTTCTGTAACATAGGAATGGAAAGCTTTAGAGCTTTGAAGAGTATTCTAGAAGAGCTTGTTGAAAGCACATTCATTCTCTCGGTTAGCTCATTGAATGCTCCTACTAGCTCCACCACCATCTTCCCTCCCGCCTGCTCCAACGCTGCAGTCTCCGCCGTCGCTCTCAGTGATATCTTCCATCTCCGTTGTCTCCGTCTGCAACTCGGAGGACTAGCTAAGCTTACAATTTCATGTGTTGGAGCTCTGCGAATTCTCTGGATTGGAAGAAGTTGAAGAGAGGTGAGCTCCATTTCCATGCGATGCTCTGAGCCAGTGACTCCCTCCCTGTCTCTGCTCCACAATTTCTTCGGCGATAAAGTCCGTAATGACGTGGCAAAGTTTCAGTGGTTGCTCTTGTTTTGAAATTGGTTAAAGTATATGTTAGTCTCATAATTTAAATAAAATTCAAATGCGGACCCTATATTTAATTAGTTAATGAAATGTTTTCTTCGAATAAAGAAAAAGAAAAAAAAAGAGTTGAATGATATATTTACTTGCACTTTCTTTTAACTGAACTCCCTCTATTTAAGATGAAGTATTTTAAGATATATTTACTTGCACTTTCTTTTAACTGCACTCCCTCATGAAGTATTTTAGTATAAAATATAAATAGAGGTATTCATTTTATTAAAAAAATAATCATCAACAAAGTTTAGATGTGAACGGTATTTATATTTTGTTAATATAAAGAAAATGTGTTTTAATTTCTTTTTGGAGATATTAA